CAAGAAAAACACCAAATGTGAAGAATAAAGACCTGACTCAGCTGACTGGGATAATGACATTTACCCTAAGTATTCATTTCTCTGGGGTGAGCGCATACCCTACCAGCACAATTAAGAAAACCGCCTTATAATTCAGGACTTTTCTGTTTGTTTGTTTGTTTGTTTATAAGCCATACTGGGCACTGGACCCAGGGTCTAGAACACCCTTGGCTGCTGCTTAGGTGCTGAAATACAGAGCTACTGCCCCCGCTTATCCTATGAAAGCATAGGGAATCATTTCCAGCACCTCACGTTCTCCGTGCTTGTTGAGAAGTTGCTTTCCTGGGTGGGGCAGGCTGGCATTTCAGCTGGACCCAAATAGCTTTCTCTTTGGCTTCCATTTCTGAAAAAATAATTTTTTTGATGCAAGGGATCTATCCCACCTCATTAAGAGGGCTTAATATGCTCAATACACACCTTAATTCTCTCGGCAAGATCTCATCCTTCACGAGCTTGTGTACCCAGTGCCCGAAGCATGGTAACACCGTTGGTTCTTCCAGTTTTCCATGGCAACACTTCTGTGGCATTCTTTGTTTGAACAGCACCCATTCCCTTGATGTCTACAAAATCACCCCCTTTGTAGATTTGTATGTATGGGGCCAAAGGCAGAACCTTGTTTTCTAAAGGCCTAGAGAACATATATCAGGTTCCTCTCCTCTTTCCCTTTTGTTCATCAGTTTGGTAAATTACTGGGAAATAAAGTTCTGGCTGAAAAGATACTGAAATCCGAAGTTTCAGTATCATGCCTAAGATTACCTACTTACGGGTACAACCGGAATTCACACGGAAGTCTCAGTCCAGAGTTGGTGCTCTAAATCATTACCCTGCACTTTGTCACTGATACAAATATTTTCAAAGTTCTGCAGTAGGAAAAAAAGGGCCTCTAATTTTAGAAATTTTGCATGCAGCAATACCTCGTTAAAAATTCAGTTGCTATGGAATGAAGTTAGACAATAGAAGATAATGAGCAGTCATATGTAGCAAAAAGTAAGAAAACACAAATTTAGGAATTCTGGAGTTTTAAGTTCAATCTTTTCAGCCTTAGTCTTTAAATCTGAGTTTTAGAAAGACCCAAAATCTTTCAATAAACTAAATAAATGCTAGTCATTCAGACAAGCAACAGAGGTCAAAGAACTTAGATCTGCACATTTTCCTTTTGGTCTCTAAGATAATAAGTACCTGCCTTGACATATTATGGGCTAATTAAATAAGGTATGACACACTCTGATCGTATTTTATTAGCATACAGCTCACTTCCCCCATCACCAAAATTTAAATTACTGCAAATTTTTAACTCATTGCTTAAAAAACACTCCACCCTATCATGTTTCACTGAAGGTTGCGGAGACAACCATTAATTATGTAAATTCACTCACCTCTGCTTCTTTTCACGCCTCTTTGCTCAGGCCTCCACTTTAGTACAGAGCAGACCGGTAAGTACTATACAACCCCGTGTACGCTAATGCTTGTGATCCAGTAGCCGACGGTCTGGTTGGTTTTTCCTGTCCCTCAAGGGCTAGGACTCCGGGAAGCACCGAACAGCCACAGCACTCTTGAATCCAGAAGCAGCAGCACCTTCACTAAGTCAGACAGAAGCAGCCTACAAATGAGTCGTGTTGAAGTCCCCACATGTCGGTCATTCTAACGGAGGCTAATAAAGCTCTCAATTGATTCATGTGATTTTAAAGCTAAGCTTACCTACCTTTATTTATTTATTTTTGAGACAGGGTCTCACTACGTAGTTCAGGCAGACCCTGAATTCACTATGTAGCCCAGGCTGGTCTTGAACTCCAGGCGATCCTCCTACCTCAGCATCCCCAGGGCTGGAATTACAGGTGTGCGTCACCATGTCCAACGTAAGCTTATTTTGTATAAAAGAAAAAAGTAAGCTTGTCTTTTGAAAGAATAAACTAGAGCAGTGTAAACCAGGCAGGGACTCATTTGCATTTTGGCAGAAGACGATACTACCAGCTAAAGATTAGGTTACAACCTGCAGATGGCAGAGGTAGAAACTAACTGAAATCAAACACAGAACCATTTCTGTTACTTTTGGGTCCAAACTAGAGGGCCTCTGGGGTCTCCCTGGCTCAATGCATGATGGAACACATGAAGAAAGTCAGTGCAGAGCTTTGTGTGACCTTGTGGTCACTTGGTTTGGGAACGGTCTACGGACCTGAAGCAGGGTGGGCCGAGGTTGGTTTAGTGTTTGGCCCTGGGAGGAGACAGTCTTGGAGGACTCACTGTTGAGCAGCTCATATGGGAACTCAGGGCAGCCATGGGTTTAAATGTCTCTCTCCTCCAGAGCCATCTGCCTCACCAGGGGCTGAGGAGTGCAGGAAAGGGCCAGGGCCACAGCGCCCCTCTGTTGGCAAGGACACAGCAAGGGCGGACGAAGACTGAGCTGCGCTCCTGGCCTGGCCCCTGTAAGCCTTCAGCACTGGACCGAGTTTCCAGCTTTGAACTGTGGCGTCCTCACAGTGAACGAGCATCTCACGGTTGGTACGGAACACAGATATCTGACAAAACACCCGCTCACACAAGTATTCAAGACCAAAGCCCTCATCCTCTTGGCTAACTCTCCCATGACTGAAGTTCAAGGTAAGCAACGAAAGAAAAAAAGGCAGCGATGGCCTCTAAGATTTATCCACTGCAAGCTTCTTTATTTTGTGCAGCACAGGGTATACCATCCCTTAAACCATGTCCAAAGCTGCTGGAAGCCAGGTTACACTTCAGTCCTCTGACTTAGGTGCAGCAGCGCCTTTCTGGATGCCAGGCTCAGCTATTTTAAACACACCTTAGACTCCTGTTACCATTCCTCTTCCCTAAAGTTCATAGCATGGAACACAAGAATCTTGCTATGGAAAAGGTCGTGTTTAATAAACATACTTTCTCAGTATTCATTCAGAATGTCACTGGAGAATGCTTTATTCTAGTACCACTACATCTCATGACAATCAAAAATTCTTAATTTTTCTAGTGTCTTCCATGAACTGGAAGATACTTACATGAATTGTTTGAAACACATAACCACGAATTGTTTTTTTTAAAAAAGAAATCTTGCACGTCTGTGATCATTGTTGTAAAATCCTTGTAAAATTCTGTAAAGTTCAGAAAAGGCAAATACTGAATCCAAGACAAACTCTAGGGAGCAGAGGTGGCGTCAGTCTTGCTCACGGTTGCACCCCAGCACCTCAGCCAAAGCCTGGCATGCACAAGGTATTCAGTGTTTAAGTGATATGTTTTAATCTTTGTAGAAAAGATCTCCCAGAGGATGGAAGTCTGTCACTATGGAGTTATTCTGAAACTAAAGGGAAAATCTGAATTCTAAGCTCCTTTGGGGAGAAGCAACGGATCTTCGTGGCATTTGTACAAACCCAAAAGGGAGATTCGGTGTGGCCTGAAATTTCAAAAAGCACCATGTAAAAATATTTTCTGAATGTATGACACTTCTGGCTCTACCACCCTAGATGTTCCCTAGTTAGTGCAGGAAGCCATCCAGAGGCCAGCGTTCATGTCCAACCATGTCCCAGGGACTACTTAAGAATGGACACATAGGGGCCTACAAAACCAAAGAAAATATATACATGCACCCATTTTAAGAACAAAGCTCTATCTCAAGGAATTTGAAGAGAAAAAAAAAAAAAAAAGAAGAACAAAGCTCTAAACGTGCTGACCACACAGAAATGCTAAGATCTTCTATAGATATTTCCAGTTCAGACTTAAAATGAGGTCTAAGTCTACAACTCAGTGACTAAAGGCAAGTGCCAAAGGCAAAAGAGAAGACATTCCCTTCTTCTGTCCTCTCCACTGAAAGGAATGTCTATGGTGTCACTAGTGCTGGGCTGGCTGTTTGTAACAGCCCCACAGGAGAGGTAGAAATCCCTGTCACTATCCTAGACGTGATGGAAGTCAGGCTCAGGGCAGTTAGACCAAATTTATACATGAAACACGGACCCAAGTTCAAGTCCGACTCACTGTACAGGGAAACAGCCAAGTGGATGCAAATGGCAATGGAGAACATCTGAAAAGAACATGGCAAACACCCAGTGCTGAAAATCTGTCACAGCCAAATCAATCAAGCCCAGGGCCCCTGAGATTAGGATAGTGACTCTGAAGGAACCATGGTTAACAGGGGACGGGCAAAGGCTAGTCTCACATTTTTAAACGGATGCGTCAGACTGAGAAGGGGTACACACAGGTCAAACCTCCTCTGTGTTGTCATCACGGGATGCTGCCCAGTGCTTTGCCTAGGCTGAAGAGGTGACAAGGTATCATCAGTACACAACTTGTCAAGCGGATGCAGGACCAACACCTTCTTTTGAATAGGTCTAAGGAGGAAGAAACTTCCCAGTTTAAAAGGGAGTTTGCAGACTTGGGGAAGGGGGTGCATGCCTGTAATTCTGTCACTGGGGAGGCTGAGGCAGGTGGATTGCCACATTCGAGCCCAGCCTGAATTACAAAGTAACTCTGACTCAAAAAAAAAGTAATATGCAAAACTAGAGGCTGACTTCAGAAAATGAATTCCAGTTCCAAGTGATGGAGTTACAGATAGCCTTATACAGCACATTAAACCAGAAACTACACACACTGCATCTTTCTCTACACAAATAGAATTTGTGAGAACTAAGCTCACTTGACAGCTGCTTCTATAATTTCAAATTATTCAAAACTGGTGAGCACATTATTAGCAACCAAATTACCTGCTCTAGTTTGGATCTTAAGTGTCTCCCAGAGCCCCCCTGTTGGAGACTTGGGCTCCAGCCCGTCTTGTTACTGCAAGCTGGTGGAATCGCTAGGAGGTGGCACCTAGGACGAGGTCGTCTTTACCTGGGAGGATGCCTCCCACAGGGATAACCAAAGCCCTTTCCTTTTTTGCATCTTGGCCATGAGATGACCAGTGAGGTTCTTCCATAAGCCCAAAACATAAGGACAACAGACCATGGACTGAACTTCCCAAAGCATGAGTCAAAGAAAACTTTTATCTTTATCTCTGACATCTGGTATAGTACACTTTACCTTAATTTTAGACTTCCTAAGCCAATGTCAATACAACGCAAGTTACACATAAAAGTTAACATCAAGTTTATGGACAGTCTCTTGGCACAGATGGAAAAAGTAATAATGAAAAGGCAATACAGGTGACTTAGAATTTCCTTTCCTCTTACACTGCAGTCAGCACATATCAGTGTTAACTCCCTACGGAGGATGGAGGTACCTTCCGAGAACCTGACACGAGGGCTCCACTGTCCTGGGGACATGTGCAGAGAGGCAGTATTACTAATCAGGACCAGCTGCTGTTATGACTTTGCTGCTACCAAAACCCAAAACAACCCAAAGTAAACATGCATCCTAACACACAATACCAACAGCAGAAATTATGACATAAATATATTTCTTATGCAAAACAAGCCAAGTGACGAATATACAATACAAACAGTGATAAAAACTGAACTTTCTTTTTGGGAGGGTACCACCATGATACTGCAGTTTGAACAGGGGTTAATATCACATTTAACACTTGCAACTCTGTAAAAACCATGGTTAAAACAGTATGCCAAGTTTACATTTGGGTGGAAACCCAGATGTGGGGAAGGTTGCTATTAAAAAAATGAAAACAGGAATGACATAAGTATATTTTCTTTTATATACAAAAATGGAGGCCCAAAATATGGTTGTTGAAGTAGCTATTGAAAAGATGTGGATTCACTTTTCCTTTGCTTTGGTTAAAACAGTTTTGGAACAGCAGTCAGTTCCCCTCTTAACAGCATACAAACACAGTGACAGGACTATTTTTAGTATAAAATAAATGACTTTCAAGAAATTAAATTAACTTTAAACTAGACACTTTACCAATAAATAAGTTTTTTGAAAAGGTAGCATCCTCATCTTATAATCTTGGGCATAACATATATACCAATTTTAAAAGTAAAATTTCTCCCATAATAATAACTACAGATATTAATGCAACAAGCTATGAAAAGAAATGAATGTATTTTAAGAAACTCCTAGCAACCAAATATGAATTTTAAGTTGGCATTTTCTACAACTGTACATATTCCAAAGTAATGGACTAATACTTTCTTACAGAATATAATTCAAATGACTGTTGGTGTTTCATTATACTCCTAAGAAAATGGTTAAAAGAAACATTTTGCACACCAAATCAGAAACAGAGCTTATAATTCTAACTGATGGCATGAAAAGCAACCAATTTCTACTTAAAGCCATAACCAGTGATGAAATGTGCTTCAAAAACAAAACGTTGGGACTGATGATCTTTAACATGATCTGATGTTTGTACTGATGGTAATTACTGAAACCCATGTGCAAAAAAAGTGCTGCTTTTTCTTGAAATATGTAAGACCAACACCACTATTTACACATTTAAAAGATTTTAAATTTATTAAATTAAGTAAGCATATTGCTTCTCCTCTATGGATAAATCAGATGCCGCAGGCAGCCCCAAAGCTTCACATCTTGTTACACTAACGTAACTGAAGAAGCAGGTCTGCTTCTTGTCCTAATTTTGATCCTAAATACAAATCTCACATCAAAATATCAATTAAGAATCATTTTGATCTATGAAAGCACAGAACTGTTGCACAACGACCTTTTCTGTTCTCGCTGCTGGTCCACACAGCAAATCCCTGCCAGTGCAGACTGCAACTCCCCCCCACCAAGGGGAGCCTCCCAACTCAGCTGCACCCACCAGCGTTCTGGTGGGTTTGCTCAGCCTCCTGTACTTGCGACTACAGCTTTGGGTGAGCAATCAAAACAGATGAGGAAACATTTCGGCAAAGCAACTATTTTTTGTCCACAGAAACAGTGAAAAACAGTGATATAAAAAAAATTAACAAACCAAAATACAAATCTAATACCACTCTGTATTCCAGAACTTGGTTTCATACTCCAGCAGTGTTCTTGGTCAACTACCCACTGCCGTGTTCCGAGTCCGTCAGGAGTACATTTATTAAATTATTAAAACTGCCATTATGACTGAAGTCCCATGTAATTGCAATGAGGAGGAAATCAAGTGACTGATTATTACTCTGCAGTGCACTCATCGGCATGGTGAGCGTAGAGGAATTAAAACTGGAACAGAAGTCTCTTGCTTCTAAACTGGACACAGGAGTTCTCAAATTAAAACCTTAAAAAGGGGGAGCTTCCTGGCAACATGAATTAGACACCGGACAGGACAGCGCCACTGTTTGGTCACAACTTAGAGAGGAAGTTTCCTTAAAATGTTGCAAAGACGCCTCACCGACCACTGCCTCGGGTCCAGCAGGCGCCACGCTGCCTCGCGTTTCCATCAGAGCAGCACCCCGCCTTCAGCGCGGTCTTGGCTTCCAGGCTCAGGGTCCCCATGGCCCCTAGCTGCAGGCGATGGTTTCCAGCTGCTGCTCGGCCTCGGCGGCCATGGCCGCCGCCTGCAGCTGCTCCGTCTCGCTCTGCATGGCACTGGGGGTCACCTGCTTCCGCTCACTGTGCATATTGTTCTCGTGCCGCTTCAGGTCAGAGGCCTTGGCGAAGGCCTTGGTGCAGGAGCCACACACGAAGGGCTTCTCCCCTCGGTGCCTCCTCTCGTGGTCCTTGAGGTGGGACTTGTGCTTGAAAGCTTTGTCACACATGTGGCACGCAAAGGGCCGCTCGTTGCTGTGCACCCGCTCGTGCTTCTTCAGGTCTGGGGCACGGATGAAGGACTTGCCACACACCTCGCAGCTGTAGGGCTTATAGCCCGTGTGGATCTTCAGGTGCTCCTTCAGGTGCGCCTGCGTGGTAAAGCCCTTTGTGCACATCTCACACACGAATGGCCGGTCGGCCGTGTGCAGCTTCTCATGCTTGCGCAGGCGGCCCTCGTCAGAGAAGGTCTTCCCGCAGGCCTGGCAGGCGATCTGCTCGCGGTGGTGGCCGTACAGCAAGTACTCAAACTTCATGTCGCTGGTGGTTGTGGTCCAGCCTGGGGTCTGTTCGTCTTTCACCTCGCTCATGCCATCATTAAACGTTAAGGCTTGCGGGGTCTGTGACCCCAAATCTTTGGACTCTGGGGTCTCCATGGACTCTACTTCCTGGCCATAGCAATTGACTTTCCGAACCTCCTCGCTCCCCAACTCTTTCAGAATTGCCTCCTGAACCCTGAGCGTGGTGGTGGGTGACTTGCCGTCCTCCTGACTTGGAGGGGTGCCCTCTACTGTGTCGTCGGAAGGGCTGTCATCCTGATCCCCAATTTCTTCCACGTCATCGTCCTGAGTGTCCGTGGCGTCTCCAATGGGGCGATTTATTTTGAGGCAATACTTACTTTTGGACTGGCCGTTACTTTCATCGGGACTGGACACGTCACGCTTCTGAGAACAGAGTTTATCTAAAAATCGGATCCCGAGAATCTGACCGGAAGACATCATTAAGTTAACATCTTCCTTCTTGACAGAAATCTTTGCAGTGTACATGTAGTTCAGGACCTCTTCAAATATATCAGAACGGAGAAAATCTATCTCTATTACTGAAGAGCTATCCACCTCGAGCTTCTTGAAGAGCTTTTTAAAGTAGGTGCTGCAGGCGGCAAGAACACACCTGTGTGCTCTGAACTTTACATCTTCAACCACAATAGCGATGTCGCAAAATTCTCCTTCCAGGCGCTGTTCATTTAGCGTTTTCAGAAACAGAGTTTTATGATCATCGTCATTGTACTTAATGGTTTCAGACATACTGATGAAAAACTCCTACAAAAAAATTTATTAAAAAAAAAGTTTAGTGATTAAGGATAATTTTTTCATACAGACAACACAGGCAGACATTCATTTCCTGATGAGAAAGTCAGTGCCCAAGGCCAGTCCAAGAACTGGGTAGAAAAGACTGATCCCTACTGCGGGACATCTGTACTGTGACTCTATTTACCTTCAGTTTACTATTTGCCTAGCCATAATAATCATAGCTTCTTTTATAAAATGTATGCCAGGCATTATCCTAGGTGCTTCACAATCCTAAGCATTTTCCTCTCCGGATGACCGCAGGAGGTAGAGGGGTTAGAAATTGCCCAGTATCAGGTAGCTACTTAGTGAGGGCTGAGATTCCAATGCAGGCAACACAGCTCTAAAGCTCATGGATCCAGACAGGAAGGACCAGCAAGTCAAGGTAAGCATTTAAGAAACAGAGTGGAGGAAGGACCTGAGCTCTGATCCCGCATCCACATCCCTGTCCTCCTCAGAAGAACAGCGCTCAGTGTGAACCGAGGGGCACCCCTGCTAGCCTGCCCAGTGCAGTCTCCTGTCTTCCATGGCACTTTTAGGCCACTTCTAAAGGAAGCTCAGATGACATCTAGAGAGAGAACAATGACTGGCTCTGTTCTCCCTGACGCCAGTCCACCCCCCCTGGGTACCATTGCATCGGATGTGCAGATTTAGGGTCCTCACTCAGTGCTTGGGACCAGAAATGTTGGGGATTTTGGAATCCTCGATCCTATATAACATGAAATGTTTTTGTAACAGGACTCAAGTCTAAACATGGAATTTATTTATGTTTCAAATGGAATTTTCCAGGAATCCTATCATGTCAGCACTCCAAAGATCTGAGTTTAGATTTCATATATGTAAATTGAGGCTCCACCTGTACTTGATAAGTGCCAAATATTTTACATGCAAAAGAAACAGAACTGACATGAGGGATCTCACACCATTGAGGGTTTGTGCTTTTAAAAATGTGTTCTATGTACTTTTTTCAAAAGTACTGTTTTAACTTTGGATAATATAAGTCTGAAGAAAACACAGTTTTCCCAAAGAAACTGAAAGCAATATATAATTTGATACATATGCATACAATCTGCATGCTGGGGATGGCCGGGCAAGTGCGCTTACTATCACAGCTACACCCCATCCGAGCAAAAGTCAAAACATTTGTTAAGGACTTAATATCCAAAGGTATAGTTACCATGAACAATTCAGGCTATTATCTTACTGCCTTAAACACCAAAATCTTCAGATCAGAATAACTGATCAGGGCACACCAGACCTATAGAGAAAAAGAAAAAACAAAAGCAAGAGTGAGGTAGGATCTTTCTCCATTCTGAATTCTAAACCAAGCATGGTTTCAAGAACTAATTAAAAGATAAACTTCCTGGCTTATTTTGCCTCCTGTGCCTGTACCCATTTTCCAGCACGGGAGCACCTGGTTGGGAGCACCCATTTTGCACAGACCTGGGCTGGAGCTGGAAGGTACTATGTGGCAGGGACCAGAAGGATGCGGTGAAGGGCCACCAAGGGATGGCTTGAGGCACAGCTAAACCACACATATACAGAGAGACACCAGCAAGTGCACCAGTGCCACCATTTCCTGCTGGGTATGCAGCCCTGTACCGGTTCCTATGCACACCAACACAGAAAGACAGTTACAGACCTACAGTACCTAACAGTTATCAGAGGCAGCTGTAGCTGTTTTTTTGTGGTTTTTTTTTTTAACACATCTGTGAGGGAGTACATTCTTGTCTTTAAGATTGCACTTGAGAAATTCAGGTGTCTTAACCTCTACTACTTCCCAGAAGCCCAAAGAAATTTAGCTTTTTGTGCGTGTTAACTCTTACCGGAGGAACTCCATCCTGCAGACCAATGTCCTGAAAAACAAAAAGTTTCCTCTACTGAACAGGGACCACACACAAAAAAGCTATTTGGTGTGGTGGGCTACACAAAACCTGCAGGGTGGAACTCTGAACCCTAGCCTTGCGCCCTAAAGATCTCAAGTATGCTTTCTAGAAAATACTGTGCTGCCCTGGGTCCTGGGAGGCTTCTCCCTGAAGAGACCACCCGGGCTCTGCCTCCTGTTTTCCCATGCACGGGGCCTGCAGTTGCCTCTGAGGGAGGGTAGCTCGCACAAAACCTTCCTGGGGGCACACTTTCCAGGCTGTCACTAACTCCTGGGACTGGTGGGATGAGTGTGCATGAGAGGAGGGGGAGGAGTGGCCGGGAGTAGCCATGGCAACACATTAGCGTGCCTTCCCTTTCTCTTTTTGGACCACTGTGAATTCGACGACCCCTTTCTGCTTTTTTTCCCTCAATCTGGGGCCTAGAAAGGCGGCAGCCTGGTTGCATAGGCTCATTATTTTTTTCCTATTGCGCTGTTCCACTTGCTAAGTTCTGACGAGTGAAACCGGAAGACGGCCGTGACCAGTGTTTCTGTAGGCAGCCGCAGCAGACGATGTGGCCTCATCACACCTCCGCCACCACGCTGTCGCCGGCCGCCGTCTCTCCCAGCGCCGGCACAGTCAAACTTACATAAGCACCCCCCCCCCAAGCCGCGACAATGGCGCCGCGCGACTTCCCCGGCGGGCGCGCAACCCGGAGGGGAGGAAGCGGGGGCCGGGCGCGGGCCCCGAGCGGCCCTGGAGCGCGCCGCGCCCTCGCTGCCTCCCTGGCCTGCGCAGAGGGCCATCTGCGTCCCCGCCAAACAAAAGCTTCGGCTCGGGCGGGTGCGGAGAGGGCACTTCCCTCCCGGATCCCCGGCAGTCCGGGTCCGGCGCGGAGGCGGAAAGGACCGGGCAGGGGAGGACGGGAGGATAGCGGCCCCGGCGGCGCGACTGCTCGGGAGCGGGCATGCGTTCGGCTCCGCAGCCCCGCGCCGCTTGCGAGCTCCGCGCCCGCGCCCCGCGCACTCCCCGGCGGCTCGCGCGGCCCTCCCGCGCCCTCCCGCGGCCGGGGGCGGCGGCGGCGCGCGGCCGGCTGGAGCTCCGCGGGCGTCCCCACCCCCGCCGGTGCACTGCGGCGCGGCGCGGAGCCGGGGCGGGCGGCCATGAGCCCTGGCGCCGGAGAGTGAGCTGTAGCGAGAGCGCGCGCGGGCCGCCTCGCCGCTCCAGCCGCCGCCGCGCGGCCCCCGGCGCCCCGGCCCGCGCCCGGCCCCGCGCCGCACGTCCCGGAGCTGGCGGGCGCCCCGGAGCGCGGCGGGAACGCGCGTGCCCGGCCGTCTGCTGCCCCCGCGGCCGGCCCGGCCCCCTCCGCGCCCGGCCCGCGCTTACCTGCAGCCGGCACGGCCCGGACGCTCGCCTGGGCTCCCCGCGTTGGCTCGCGCGCAGGCCGGACGGGGTGGGCGCGGGGGCGCGGTATTTGGAATTTTTTTTTTTGGAGTTCGGGGAGGGGGCGGGGTGGGGGATCGTGCACGTCCCTGATGGTCGCAGCCCTCCTCCTGCACGAGCACAGAATGTCTAGCCGGCCGTGAACACCCCCACCGCCCCCCCTTCCCGTGCATGCGCGGTGCGGGCTGGGGGGGGGAGGCGCGCCGCCGGCTCGCGCAGGCACGGAACCCGGCCGGGCCCGAGCGAGTGCTGAGCTGCAAAGAGTTAATCCGGGCCCTCGCGACGCTGTGGTCGGAGCCTACGGGGCCGCCCCGGAGGGCCCTGGCCTGCGCACGCGCGCGCACGCGCGCGGTTGGGGCGCGCAGAGCCCGCGCGCGGGAGAAGGGGTAGGCGGGGCGGGGCGGGGCCTGGGCCGCGGGAGCGGATGCACGAGCGCCGCGCGCGGGCACCGGCCCCGCCTGCAAGCGCCCGCCTCCCTCCCGCCGGGCTGGCTGCTCCGCTGCCGCCCGCGCCAGGGCGGCTTGCGCGGGGACGCGGGAGCCGGCGCGCCCATGCGGGTGCGTGCGCGTGGGCCGGGGCAGCCTCGGGGCGCGCACGGGCTGGACCGCAGGGCTGCGGGGCTCGGCCAGCTCCTGAGCGGGAGCCCCGGGCGCCCTCGCCCCGCGCGCGCTAGCCGAGCCTGGACGCGCGCGTGCAGGGAGCAGGCCCGGGCGGTGTCGCTGCCGCAGCGCTGTTGGTGGGGAACGGCAAAGTGGGCGCTTTGATGTGGCATGCGAGCTCTGAGACTCCGCTTCAGCGGTCCCCTGTTCGCCCAGTACCCTTCTTAGGCGGCAGGCGAGATCCTGGATGCGACCCTAAGTTGGTGCCCTCTTGGCATCCTATTCTGCAAAAGTTACCGAGCCTCTCCTTGGAGACCCGGGCTGTTCCCGTGCTGCAGGGCGCGGTCTCCAGGGAGCCACCTAGGCACCCACAAATACGGGAAGCCCCGCTGCACCATCTTGTCGTCTGGGTTGCTGTATCACACTCATTTTTACAGAATATGCCCCTCCTTTCCTCCTAGGCTTGCGAGGGCCTAAGGGAGTACCTGCAACAGGTATACAAGTAAAGGAGTAAACGTTTGAGGAAATGAACCTGCCTTTGCTAAAGGAAATTCCAGATGGTCTCAGTCGATTCTGTAGTATTAACTGATGTTGGCATAATGTTTACCGAGGTGTTTATATAGGTCTCTTTGATGGGGCCAGATGGTCCAGTAAACCACACAGTGTCAGATACAGGAGTCTGAGAGTTCAAATACTGGTAATTTGCTTACGTTTTGTAAACCTCACTTCTCTGAGAAGGAAGCATCTTCTAGGGTGGGCACTCGTGAGAATTCAGTGGAACAGTGGCCAAGTGATGCTCACAGCCTGCTTTACTCCTATGGTGTTACAGGCCTGGGCCTAGGTTGTACTAATTGGCAGGGGCAGGACTGGAACCCTGGGGTTGTGGCTAAAGTTCTTGCTGGTGACACTCGATGAGTTTCAAACGTCTCCAGCTGTGAGACTGGGCAGGTCCACTCTTCCCCTGGTCATGTGTGAGGAAACTTGTGAGCACCAGGGACCAGCATCCCATCCTTCGATGCCTAGAAATAGAAGGAACTGAACAGTTAACCCCTCCAACTCACTCTCAGATAAAATACTTAGCCAGCAGATCCTAAGGGTCCCCTTCAAACAGCTGTGTGATGTCAGCCACAAATAAAAAATAGGAAAATTCTATGATACTTTAACTGAGAGATCAAAAATTGATCAATAGAAGAGACTTGTCAGATAACAGCAATAAAAACACAATAGGCCAAGGATCAGGTAAAAAGGAAGCAGTTTACTAGTAGTCACTTCTCTATAGCAGGTACTTATAACAGCCTAAGAATTACAGTTCCATGGTTTTCTTTGGTGCAGTTATATGATTGCTTAAAAAAAAATAATAAAACCCAAAGAGAAAAAAATACTTAAGCCTTTTTTTAGAAGATCAAAATACATGGCCATTGTTTCTGCATCGTTTCAGTAGCACTGCTAAGGACACAAACTACTGTCCTAAGTCTACTTCCTGTGAACTAAATAAAACGTAAACGATGTGTAAGATTCACATTTAAATAACCTCTGGCTTGACACATCACCCTCAGACATAATTACATCAAACTGCCATTTGAACCATGATGCAATCTATCAGTAGTAAGGAGACAGAACAATATCCAAGTTACTTCAGCAGAAGAGGAGTTGACTGAAGAGACAGTACTGACCGTCTCTCAGGGCAAGGACCCCATTGCCATTGGCAAGACGGGCTGGGAGGTCAGTTGGAGATGGATTTGGCTCCGTGGAGGGACACCCTCGTTGTCTATTTCTTACAGTCTCAGTCTCACGTTCCTAAAATTTCAGAAGCATTTTCACCGCCTTTCTTTTTCTTTCTTCCCACTACCTTTTGCTAGTTGCAAAGTTCTGACCGGAGGACAACCTGAAGATCTCACTTTTGCCTTTGAACAAAGAACATTTCACTCACTGAAGTAAAATATACATCATGTTAATATTAAACTATGTTAGTCTCTGAGCCAGCAGGTTATTGAAGCTGAAATTAGTACTCTCTGAGCTTTCTTTTTCTTTTTTTGAAATGTAGATGCTTTCAAGTGACACAGCTCTCCTTCCTTCATGTGGATGGATACCTGTCAACTCCCTTCCCCTGAGCTGGGACTCTGTCCAAACCTGTGACGCTTGGCTTTCTGCACCATTGTCCTCTGTAGAAGTGACGGTTTTCTACTTTGCAAATGGGATGCAAATTACATCTCTTATTACAAACACGAGGTAGAAATATCTACCACTGACATCAATGATGGTTTTCTATGGCCCACACTGTGCAGGAAGAGAATTTTACTACTACTGTTTTTTTCTGGTACTGGGAGTCAAACTCAAGACCTGTTTTGTTTTTGAAACTGATCTATCACATTGGTATGCTAAGCCTATAATGTGCAGAGGTGGTCTGTGTTATTTCTGGGGCTTAGTAAACCATTTAGTGTACCTGATACGGGTGGCATCCAATTGGTTGGCTTACTATTTAATGCTTTACTTTTATCATAATCATTGTAATACTCCCACATATTTTTGTTAAACTATTTGAAAAAAAAGTCCTGTGTTTGTGCAGGCTCTGGTAAGTTAAAATTATAGCTTTCTGTGCAAAATTGAAGCAAAAATTTCTTCAACTGGATCTGTCCTCACAGATTTGGGTGAAGAGTGCTTTACTTTTCTGAGGTTCCCCCCCCCCCCCACGCACACTCTGCCTTTCCTCGAGCACACTGGGCATGCTCAGAATCTGTCTACCCTGACAATGTTCAGGTGGGTCGCGAATGTATTTCGTGTTCACATTGTTTAAAGAAAACTGTAGAAGGTGGTTAAACAGTGATTTAAACAGCCCGTGAATTTAATATTCTTTAGTTTCTTACCTCAAGACTCAGACTTCCTTTACAAAGTTAGGAGACAAATTTTACATAAGGCACAAATGCCAGGGATATAGCTCAGTGGCACAAGTGCCTCCCTGGCAAGCATAAGGCTGTGAGTTCAATCCCGGTACAAACAAACAAACAAACAAACAAACAGAAGAAGAAAAAAGAGAAAGAAAGAAAATCAGCACAGAGGAATGGGCACTCCTTGGTCCAGTCTCTGGGTGCTGAGTTTGGAAGCTTGGAACAACCTGTCAGCCCGTGGTCCTGGGCAGGTTATCTCACTATGCAAGATCTCTTTTCCTTCCTTGTACAATAAGAATACCACCAAGGCTAATTAATTAATCAGTTCTACAAATGGTTAGAAGTATAGCTGTCCCTTGACATCATCCAAGGAAATGGATTCAGGAACCTGTACCTTTGCACCAGTCTTTCATTCCCGTAGCATGGTATTTGCATGTGACCTACACACATCCTCCGTACACTGGATCATCTGTGTGACTTCTGATACCCGCCGATGTAAACTCTGTGGAAGTGGTTGTCATGGTCTACTGCTTAGGGAAGAAGGACAAGAATGGAAATCTATACAGGTTTCAGTATACAGACACAGTGTGTTTTTCCGGAATATTTTGAAGATGGATTGGTTGAGTCCACAGACGTGGAAACAGTCTGGAGGTGGCCGATGTGCACAGTCCCCAGCTCTCTAGGTACTATGGATGCAACGAGGTGCAGAGTGCACCCAGATTCCTTCCTGCTGGGAGGCAGAGGGTAAACAGAAACATAGGTTTCTGGTGATAAGTGCTGCGGAGGGGAAGAAAGCAGGGGTGGGCCAGGAAGGTAGAGATCCAGGTGAGCGGTTTTAAATAAAGTTCTTAGGGAAGCTACCTGGAGAAGACAGCTAGCAGGTGCCCCAAGGAGGGCAGGGGCCATCGGGGCAGAGACCACATTGCAGAGTTTCTGGAACGAAAATCCCTCAGTGGCAGCCGGGCCAGGGGCAGCTGTGCCCGCTGAGTAGAAGCAACAGCAAAGGCAAAGGCAAGAGAGTGGGTGCGGAGGAGGCACTGTCCCACCCTCCCTCTGACTCTCGCTGTGAAGGACAGCTGACAATGGGTGCTTTTGTGTCTGGGTAGAACAAGATGTGGATGTTGCTGTTGAACATCGAATGCACAGCGCACCCTGATTTAACTGATTTACCATGTCTTGGCAGTTTCCGGTGGGGCTTAAGAGAGGGACAACTCAAAGCCTGCAGCCTTCCAAGAATTGGGGAGCCAGGCAAGGTGGTGCACGGCTATACTCCATCCCAGCACTTGGGAGGCTGAGGCAGGAGGATCACCTCAAGTTTGAGGCCAGCCTGGACTAGATAGTGAGTTCAAACCAAGCCTGAACTACATAGTGAGACCTTGTGTCTAAAAAGTAAAAGGAAAAAAATGAATGGAAAGTGGCAGAACCCAGGGGCAGGCTTGGGAAGGGAATGTGGGTGAGCTGCTGCATTGCAGGCAGGAGAACCCGCAGCCACAGCTCTCTAGAGTCCAGGGGGCAGCAGCATCTTCCAGGGAGACCTCCGAGAACCAGTGCCATCTTGGAATCCTCTACCCCTGTAGTTAGTTCCCTGCACTGTAATCATCTGGGTGGCTTTGATGATCCTGGCAGGTGTTGAAGGTGCTAGGAGGGTGACCTGAGAAGGTGACTCTGAGCCCCTAGGTGATTCCTGGTGCAGCATCAGCTGGCGACTTCCTTCTTCACCTCGAAGGATTAAATCCTGGCATAACCAAGAAGGTGATATTCTGTTCTGCAGCACATATTGACAACAAATGGATAAGAACATCTCTGTGAGATTCTTTATGCCATCCAAGTTCCCAGGGGACACACTCATCGCTCTGTGGC